GTAAAATTAATATTTTTATTTACACTTTTTCTCACCTAAATACTTTCAATAGTTTCCAATTTTAATTTTATCTTATGGTGCAAAATGCGTTTATCTTATCTTTGGAGGGAGGGGATGTAGCTATCTCAAACTTCAAAGGAGTATGTCTGCAATTTTACCTTTTATATATCATCATTGTGACAATTTTTTTCATTGTAAACCTGAAAATCTTTTCTTTCGCTTTGCTTCAAAGTTACAGTCAACTGCAATATATAAAATCTCACTCCCCTGGGGTGTGTTAATAACAAGGTGATGTGGCTTGATTCTGTATGGTTTATGTCATCAATTGGATGGGAAACTACATTAGTTGGGGATAAGTAATAATAGAGATGATGAAAATTTATTTTAAGCGACGGTGCATTATTATGCATAATAAAAATAATTAAGCCTTAAAATTTTATTAAGTGAGTCACAATTTATATTCTAAACTCAATAGTGTATTAATTTTGAACTATGACATATAAGAGGATACAAGAATTGCATCACACATAATAATCCAGGAGTTAAGTTTTTCATATAGCTAGTGTAATATGGCATTGTGCATAATCTTAGTTTTCATGATTAATTTAGAAAATTGAGTATAGCTAGTGTAATATGGCATTGTGTAATCTTAGCTAGTGTAATGCGTAATATGGAAGGGGTGAGAGGAGATGAAGTGGTGGAGGTTGGGGGGAACGAGGTGGTAGGGGTTGAGGGAGATAGCCTTCCCATCACCATAGTAGAAGTAGAGGGTAGAGGAGAGAGGGATTATGATGAAAATGCAGAAATAGTGGAGGAGGTGAAACAATACAGATCTGAACTAAGGACCAAGGATAGCCTGGGTCACTTAGTAGAAAATTACGAGATCTCATCTCGAGTGTTAGTTAGGCCAGCTGGGGTAGAGGAGAGGGCGTGCTCTGCTCCTCGGGATCACTGGATGCCTGTGTATTCCTACTATTTGATAGCGGGACTCAGGTTTCCACTTCCTGAGTTGCTAATAGGTTTACTGTTAGATTACAACATAGGGTTGACACAGTTGGTCCCCAACGCAATGAGGGTAATAATAGGTTTTTTAGTTTATTGCCGAGCTCAGGGGATTAGTGTGCCAACTGTAAATATGATTAAGTATTTTTTTGTTTTGAAGGGGGGAAGTAGGAGGGATAAGGGGTGGTATTATTTCACCCCTAGGGTAGCTAAGAAGGAGAGTAGGATTTTATTCACTGCGGGTCTTTCATCCATTAAGGGATGGAAGGAAAAATTCTTTTTTGTGGATGACACGAAGTGGGGGAAAGGGGATGCCGAGGTGAGGGCGTTAGCCTCCTGGAAGGCCAAAAGGGCCAACCAGAATAAGTTTAGCTTAAATGAGGATGAGGAGGAAGAAGTGAGGAAGTTGGTGAGGAAGGGGGGAGATGTGTTGAACATCATGGACCTCACCAGCTCAGCATGCATAGAGGCTGTTGAGCTCTATGGGCCAAGCGCTCTGAGTGAAGGTTTGTTTGACATATACTGTAGCGTTAAATGTAAAACATAGAATTGTGACTAATATTGTGTTTCTTGCTTTGCAGCTGAAATGGATCAATTTTTGAACACTGTTGGAGGAAAGGCTATCCCCAAGAAGCCAAGGAAGAAGTCAAATACTACAACCAAACGAGTGGATGAGGGGAGGGCCAGGAAGGAGGCAGTTCCTGTGGTGTCAGTTGAGACGGAGGAGGAGGTGCCAGCACTTAAGAGGAAGGGCTAGGAGGAGAGGAGGGCATTGCAGAAGAAGCAGAAGGTGGTGGAGGAGGAGAGGGGGAATGAGGTCCCTGTGTTCGTACCTCAGCCTCCTCCTGTTGAGCTGAACCCTGAGCTCAGACAGTTGGAGGAGGGGGCTGAGGTACGAGCTCTTGGTAAGGGAAAGGGCCCTATTCCCCCGCTGGGGCCTCAGAGCAACCTGTTCGAGGCGAATAACATGACGAGGGCTAGGTGGTTCATCAACAACACCTTCCCCGAAGTGGACCAAAGCAACGCGCGGGAGGAAGCTCTGAGGTATGGTGGAGCATCCGTGGTGAAGCACGTTCTAGAGGTATGTTAAAGTAGTGGTGTTGTGCA